CCTACCCTCTCCTACCTCACCCCACATTCAGCAGCTCAGCAGCCACACTATTCAGACAAAAGGGTCTGCAGCTGCAAAAATCAACAACCACAAAAAGGGCTAGGATCCAAACAGACAGTGGAGTTGGAGGAATAAAGCCGTGGAGGAACAGAAGTAAATGGATGTGCACCTCCAGAGCCCCCGGCCATTTTTCTGCTACAGAGGAATTTCCTGGGGCTCGTATGAACCATGAATGCTTTAGCTGCCTTTAGCTCTAGGTGAGAGGATACCTCAGTTCTCCAAACTTGTATCCCAATGAGCGCGGCCCAGAACTCAGTAATAATAATCTTTAAAGGGAAAGTAAACCTTTTTCCTTTATGCAGATTTTACGAAGATTTATTAAGTTTTAGAAAAAATGCCTCTTTGTCTAAAATAGTTCTCTTATGTGCTTTCTAGTTCAATTTTGTCGGGAAATTGCTTGGACCAAGAGGAAACTCCTTGAAGAGGTTGCAAGAAGAGACAGGCGCAAAAATGTCTATCCTGGGGAAAGGCTCCATGAGGGATAAAGCTAAGGTACTGGGTCTGAATTCTGATTGTAATTAATGCTGATGCACTTTTACTTTAACTGGTCTATTTTATTAGATTACATGTGTCCATATTAATGACCCAATGAATAGACTCTGACTCCAAAGATTTTGATTTTTTCAGTTTCTATTATATGAATTGCTTGAATAGTATCTTCTTTTGTCTAGTACACAAACCTTGCTTCCATATAACCTTTGACCACCACAGTTGCCACAATACCACTGTTCTTGACTAATTCACCTGAAAGAGAAACCAGTTTAAAGTTTATTTGTTCTGAAAAACTGCATTTATCCTAAGGAAATTTTATTTAAAGATTACTGCTGTAATATTAATGTACATTAATAGGTTTTCTCTTCTTGTAATAAATATTAATCTTTTAAAAATTTTTCATATCCCTAAAGAAACAATAAACAGAAGAGATTTACAAAAGACAATGAAATAGAAGTTTTCCTTGAATGGTACTTAAAAATGCACTACAGATAAAAAAAATCACTACCCGGTTGTTGCACCTTAAGTAATTATTTACCAAGTAAATTGACTTCATATAAATCAGAGTCAAAGAACAAGCATTGATTGTATTGTGGCATCTTACTTTACAGTCTGTAGAACAGCAGTATTATGGTCAACGCAGAAATAATGACTGCTAATTTCACTGAACTCTATTTTATATTGCACTTTAGTAATGTTGTGCATTACTCAGTTTTCCCTTCTGTCACCTCTATCATTCATCTCAGTAGCTACAACAGCAAAAGAAATACAAACTAGTGCCAGAATAAAGGAAAAGCCGATCGAGATGTTATCATTTTTATGATCACCAGTGTGATCACCAGTCACACTTGCAATATGAGATCTTCATCTGCAATATTCAAAAATAAAAAAGGGGCAAATTAGGCATACACAGGGTATTTCATTTTTGCAGAGGTTTGTTTTTGACATTGGACATAAAGACACTTCAATTATCTATTGAACACTGAATTTTAAGATAATAAATGTTGATTACAGTACAAGTTTTATTCTTAGTTATTGACAAGTGAAATATTTTATGACTTTTGGCTTGCTCCTGGAACAATAAAAAATGACTCCCTGGATGAATGAATGTGTATTCCACTAAGTAGCAGTAATGTGCATCTGTATGGCATCTGCCAGCTCCATTCTCAGCTACCTACTCGGATTATTATCGCCAAGAGCAGCAATTGCTCAGGCAAGGAAGTGTGAAGAGCTTGTTAGCGGATAAAGATGTTTAATCACATAAACAGAAAGACTAAGTCATCTGGTTTTGAGATCGGTCACTCATCTTAATTTGAATGTCATCTGATCATACAGAACAGTGCCAATGTGCCAGTTATTACATTCGGTCCTGAATATGTCAGCAGAATTCAGGGGTCTTTTTTCCTCTTCACAGAATATTTAGGCCTCAAGAACAATCAGAAGTTAAACATGAATTTCATGGAAATTCATTCATATGAGAATGGTGTAAAAAATTAAGTTGCACTGTAAAATGATGTTAAATATGGCAGTGATTAAAGCAGCTCTTGTAGAAGTGTTCTTGTAAGTGACTGTTATCTTAATCCAGTTTAGACACTACTTACTGAAAGAAAAACAAAATCTCTGTGCAGCTGGAGTGAGAAATGAGAATTATCTGATTGGTGAACATCACTCTTACCAGTTCCAAGCGAAAGAGACAGGATGTGATGGATAAATAGTTACAATTAGTATTTCAGAGAGGACATTCTGGTCTGAGACCTTGGTCTTTGAGTGTGAATGTAAATAATGGTCTAAAATTGCTACATGGCAAGGCCAAGTACAACTTACTTTGGTTAAAATAGTTTTCTTAGCATAAAATAAGCCCATTAATCTCACTTTTGATTTTTTTTATCAATTGTAATACAAATTACCAGAGCCTGGAGGCTTATTCTTGTTCTGTTGTACCATACTAGAAACAAATTTGGGACCATTACCTAATGAGTCTCCCTTCTGGAGGAATTTTCAAGAAAATTCTGTGTAATTTCTCTCTGTAAACTAGAATATCCTTAAAGCTGTCTACATTATGCCATAGGCCATAACCCTTCCCAAACAGACGGCAGGGATGTGTGCTCCCCCTGCCCAGCCCAATGCTTTTGGCTGCTCAGCTGGATCAGAGCAACAGAGACACAATTTCAGTGACAGGCCTGCTGGAAAAGACTAAACACATTTCTGCCTGAAATTCTTAGATTCTTAGTGTTCAAAAACAACTGATCCACTGATTTGAGTCTTTTTGGTGCCAAAATGATGGTATGCAAATGTTTGGCTCTATAGTAAACCACTCCGGACATACTCTGTAATTTTGGGCATGTGGAGGGGCAGTTTCCAATTCTGGAAAGTAGAATCTATGAAGGGAGGTTTATCTGCTTTTCAGGCTTTCCTTATCCTTGAAAAAGAAATCAGTGAGTAAATTCCATGGACTGAAAAATTTGGGCTGTTCCTTTCTAGACCCTCAGAAATTACTTTTAAGAGTGACTTGAGTTTTCTGAGTATCAGCTATGCCTACAGAGCATGAACAGGATAGATTAATTTGAAGAGGCAATGCAAGTAGCTTAAAATGAATATTATGAACAACTCCAGTTGTGCACTATATACCACTGAGATTATATACTTGTCACAGAGAGTTGTGCTAGAAATTGCTGAATGGATGCTCAAATGTTACTGCAACAGTTTTGCAGAATGTTTTTGCAAATATAAGGAAAATTGCAATGATTCTTCTAGATCAACATGGTTAACACGAGCACTTAAACCTTTTTTGGCTTAAGCTTACACTACCTGCTCATTTAGTGGAAGTCCAGTTTTCTGCAACCAACACAGCGTAAGGGGAAAGAGCTACAGAATTCTGGCAGGAGAGGAAGCTCTATCTTGGGAAGTTACATTACCACTAGACTGATGCTGAGTTTTGGTTTGAACTGAAAACTATACTTTTAACGTTGGCAGTAGCTAAACTTTGAAATATTTGATAGCTAAATAACTCCAGTTATTTTTAAATTATAGAGAAGGTATCGTTCAACCAGATGATCATAGTATCGTGATCCCTGTGAATGGTGCCTGTTGTAAGAGTACGGCCAGTTTCCAGTGGATTTTCATGACAGGTGGAAATAGCAAGGTTTCCAAACTGAGACCTCTCATTATCTTGCTGACTTATAGGGTGCCATTAAAGCGCTTCATTCCTGTAGTAGTGTAGTGCTATAAATATGCAAAGACATTCTTCTGAACAGGCAGTGATGAGGTTAAATGCAGTCATGTTAAGTTTCTTGGGTTTTGATTCTTTTTCATTTCTTTTTCTTCTTTTTCCACACAGCATGGGAGGCAGTTATAAAAGTAAATAATCAAACTGAGCTGACAAGAGAAATCTCATTACAGGTGGAATGAATTGATTGTCTTCGTACATAGATGTAGATTTACTCCTTTTCAACCACACAATGAATGCTTTTCACTGCAGCTTTTTAAAAAAACGTAAGCAGTTTGCTGAAATAGGTCTTTTGCATAAAATATAGCAGAAAGAACATGGATTCTCTTCAGGAAAAGTAGGAAAATATGTAGTGCTGTTCCTTAGGCACTTCTATTTTTTGAGTTAGTTACTCAAAAGTAAATACTAGAAAGACTCTATTCTCTGGCAGAGTTTTGCAGGAGACTCGAAAATCTTGAGGCTTGCACTTTCTCCATACACCCTGCATGAGCAGTGTTCTTGATTTTTATTCAGATTAATCATACACCAATATGTAATAAACATAGACATGAAATAATCATATTACACCCAGCTTAGTCTTTGTATTTTTTGGCACAGCTTCAGAACATGGCATATGAGAAAACCGAATGGCAATGATTTAATGCAGTGGAAGAATATTTTCATAGGAAAATGAAGACCATTTAGGGATAGAGATAAAATAAACACGCTGATATTATTAGAACTTTCATTAAGGGCTGGATTACATAACTGCAGCTTGCTGGAGTTTGGGATGGAGTGTATTCAAGGGAAGAATCAGCAATATAATGCTCTACTTCTACTTTTCCGTAAGGATCTCCTATCGACTGGAGATAAAATACTGGTCTAACAGTACACTGATCTGTGATGGATCTTCACCTTTAATTTCGTATATGATTGATAGAGATTTTACTATAACAATGTCCTGGATTAGACCTGGAAATGATTCTGTTTTTTAAAGTCTTCAGCACATTGCTGGTGCTTAACAAATGCAACAATGGCAACAATAACAACAGTAAGAATTGGTCAAAGGCTTTAATTATAGTCCAGCCACGTAATACTTGTCTGCTTCATTATCTCACATGTTTTTATTATATTTTTTCAGAGGTGGACTATATTGGAGTACGTAAGATCATATATAGGGAGTTTTACCTAGAATGACTGTACTTCACATGATACCATGAATTAATTAGTATAGAAAATGTTAGTAAAAGAGAACAAATAAGTTCAGGATCCCAGATTAATAACTGAAATAGCAAACAAGGCATAGAAAACTAAAAATATACAGTGAAAAGGAGGAAGACTGGTTTGAAAGAATATGGCAGGTATATGTCCTTTGTGAAAGAAAAGCTATTTCTTGTAAAGCTGTGTACATCTTTAAGTTATTTGTTATACCTAGGAAAAAGAAGGGTTGTGAAACAATCTCTATAAATGTGCAAGTATTTCAGTTCCAACATTTTCAGAATAAAATACCTGCGCTTTTTGTTTTGAAAGGACTTTTTCATTTAAAAAATGAACCTAAATGGAGTTTTTTGAAAGAGTTGAATAGCATAAGAACAATAAAATGTTATTATTTTTCTGGAATGGCATTTGCAGTTTTACTCAAAGAAAGATTCTTCATTGCTTCTCTATTTGTTAAGAAAGTGAGAAATGGATATTAAACTGATTTTTTTTTCCTGAAAACTCATTATTCATCATCTGCAAGGCACTGCTTGCAAGACAGGTTAGCTGTTTAAACTGAAACTGTTGTCTTTGCAGT